TGAGCGATTGAAGGCTGAAGGGATATTAGGGCCAAAACGGGTGAGTAGACGGGGACATTAATGTAGAGTAACAGGAGTTGAGCCTACCGTCTATCATTGTAGCTTTCAACTCTATTTCCAGAAGGGACAGAACTAGCAGCAGTCGATCTAGAAGGAACAGATCCAGAGGGGGTGGATCTGGAAGGAGGATATCTACCAGCAGCGTGTACAGGATAGAAATCCGCAGAAAGAGTAGATCTAGATGGACTTGTTCTAGAAGGAACAGATTCTGGAGGGGTAGATTCAGAAGGGATTGACCCAAAAGGATGCCTGTCTCGAGAAGGAAGACTCATTGCGCGTTGATGGTAGCGACGATAGCGAGTTGATGGTGGTGAAGGATGGAAGGAGTGGACAAGGGCACCTTCCAGGTCCAGAGACATATTCAAAAATTACCCGTACTGTGTGCCCATGACTGTTCATTACGAGTGTGGGACTTGCTGCCACGTGAAGGCACCGTTACCATGATTGAAGCTGGTGATGTAAGAAAGCGAGGTGGTAGCGAATCAGACGAGGAATCATTGTCAATATCATTGTTGTTACTGCTGCATCCATTGTTTCTGGAATGGACGCACTTTTTGTCTAGTGCATGTGATTGGTATCGCGACATGTTGGTTGTGGTTATGGTTATGGTTGTGGTTGTAGTTGTGATCGTGGTCGTGGTCGGGTCGTGGTGTTGTTGAGCTGTCGGCAAGAATGCTGACAACGCCGAGCCTATGGCATCACAATCAACAGGCTGGAGCATACGGGCACATCATATCCACATCCGCGAATAGTTCTTTTCCCGCCCACAACCTGGCCTCTGGGCCCCTGCCATGCCTTCGTTCCACGCTCGTATTCCGCACGCTAGAAGAGGCTACTTTGACGCGCTGCGGCCGGTGCCTTAGCTTCAGACATCGACTATCTCTCCCCCGTTACCGCCAGTGCTGCTGCCCAGTCCCAGTGGCCGCCACGATGAATGGCGACCTGAGTCTGTCGCAGACGCTCGGCGGACTGCGCATCGCCAACCCAGACGAGGACGACTCGCCGCCGCCCACCCAGCACAGCAACCACGATGACACGACGTCACCCCCATCACCGCCCTCGCCGACGCGCGCCTCGTCGTCGAATACCGTGACCCAGGACCGCCCCGATCTCCACCCCACGTATTCCAACTCGCACTATTCCTACACGGAAGACAACGCCTCGCTCCACCCCAGAGACAATGTCTACCAGAGCTCCCCCTCTGGCTCCCCGGCCGCCTTCCCCTCCCCCCTGGCTGAGACTTCGTCGATATCATCTCACTCGCCGCGCCTCTCCCACCGCCAGTCCATGCCCCTTCAACACCAGGCCCAGCACCAGCAGCCCTCGTATCCCCCGTATGCTGCTGCCCCATTGCTCCAGCAGCAGCGCAGCCAGGCCCCGACGTCGCAGCCCGCAGGCATGCGAGAGCGCCCAATCTCTACGAGCATGTACCAGCACCCCAACCTCTCGACCTCTTCCACCGCTGCCCCTGGCACCTACAGATACAACGACGATGCAATTCAAGGAGACATGCGCCGGACCGCCAGTTCGCGTGTCGCGCCCGGAGCCATGCCAGCGAGGGAGGCTAGCAGACGCGACCCATACCGCCAGTCTGCCCAGATGGCCGCCATGAACGGCCCCCTTCCGCCCCGGAGGAGCTCACGGCGGATACCCATGGACGCCGGAGTAGCCAATCTATCAAGCTCACCCTACAGCATCGAAGGCGGCCCGCTATCGAGCAGCGAGGAGTGGAAGGAAAAGGGCGCGGCTGTAAGCACCCGCCAGGATCTGGATCAGAACGGACGGCCCATAACGCGCGTGGTGAAGAAAGGCGTCAAGGACTTCAACTTTGGCAGAACACTGGGCGAAGGCTCCTATAGTACAGTACTGGCCGCTACCGACCGCCAGACACTGCGCGAGTACGCGATCAAGGTGCTCGACAAGCGCCACATCATCAAGGAGAAGAAGGTCAAATACGTAAACATCGAAAAAGACACTCTCAACCGACTGACGGAACATCCCGGCATTGTCCGACTCTACTACACCTTCCAAGACGAGCGCTCGCTATACTTTGTGCTGGATCTGGCGGCGGGCGGAGAACTCCTAGGCTTCCTCAAGAAGATGGGCACCTTTGACGTTGAGTGCACACGCTTCTACGGCGCGCAAATACTCGACGCCATCGACTACATGCACAACAAGGGTGTCATACATCGAGATTTGAAACCAGAGAACGTCCTGCTCGACGATGCCATGCACGTCAAGATTACTGATTTTGGAACAGCAAAGATACTCGAGCAAAAGTCAAATGGCGTTGGATCGACATCGGGCGATCCATTGGAAGGGGCACAGTCGGATCGCGCGCAATCTTTCGTTGGAACAGCCGAGTACGTCTCGCCAGAACTACTCACAGACAAGAACGCCTGCAAAGCCAGCGACCTGTGGGCATTCGGATGCATCATCTACCAGCTGCTCGCAGGACGGCCACCGTTCAAGGCTGCGAACGAGTATATGACATTTCAGAAGATTGTGGGCCTGGAGTACACATTTCCAGATGGCTTCCCTCCACTTGCAAAGGACCTCGTTGAGCGACTCTTGGTCCTAGATCCGTTAACACGACTGCCCATGGAGCACATCAAGAACCACCCCTTCTTTGAAGGGATGCAATGGGGCAAGGGCCTGTGGAAACAAAAGGCCCCACGGTTGAAAGCCTACAGCCCGCCCGCGCAGGAGCCCATCAAGCTGAATGGTAGGAATCCTGGCACTGTTATGGAAACGTCAATAACACAGCCAGGTCCCTCGACACCCGCAGCAGCAGCAGCAGCACCCAACCAACCCCAAGCACGACCGAAGCCGCGCCTTATCACCGAACTGCCCCCTCCCTCCCAGCTCGACATTGATTGGTCGCCGGTACTCACAAAGCGAGACGAGCGGATATTGAAGCTTGGAAACATGTTTGTCACACAACACGCCCCTGGACACCCTGTTGGCGGAAAGGAAGAGCCGGTGGAGCAACCTAAGAAGTTCTCGCGCTTCTTCGGCGGCAACACGGTCAAGAAGCGACAGCGACTTGTAATGATAACGTCCAATGCACGCGTACTGATGTGCGCAGCAGGCACGAATGACAAGAAGTTGAAGGAAGAGATATCGCTGCTCTCAGCGGGTTGCGCGTGGAGGTCATTCCAGGATTCCAAGGGCCTAACGTTCTGGCTCGTAGAGACGGTACGTTGAAATGATCCCTTCTTGAATGAATGATACTAATATCCTCCAGAAAGAGAAGCAGTACGTCTTCGAAGACCCCAAAAGTACTACGAGCGACCCCGATGGCAGCAAGTACTCCAGCCAAGAATGGCTCGACAGCATCGAACAAGCACGAGATTACGCCTTTGCGCAAACCATGACCAACTCGTACTCTGCCGACGTAGGTTTGAACGAGCTCGTTTCAAATCACACTACCCCGACCAGTACGTTGGGAGGAGACTCCGCCCTCGAGGGCGTCAACATCCCCGCCTCGCGGCATGGCCACCTCCGCAAAGATCAAGGCGATACTGACTCGATCAAGGGTAGGAAGCGCTTTAGCAAACGTCATTCGAAGAACGGATTGGCCAACTTTTGAAAATCGTCTTGAAAGGAAGGTCATGATTGGGTACAGATAGCGCGCCTCCGTGTGCTATCTCAATACCAACCGACGATACGTCCATGTACATGCGACTTTATACTCGACCAAGTGCTGCTCATATATCCAGCCTCATCATCCAGCGTACGGCGTTCTGGCGTCTCCTTTCCTTGTGTCACCATCATCCGATCCAGATTCAAATCCAGATTCAAATCACCAGCTCCAAATTTTTCCTTTGTTTTCTCCTCCAAAGTACGGATTTCCTCTACAAGTACGGATTTCACTCTACAAGGTACGGCATTACAAAGATCTATCACAAGCGATATTGTTGGCTCAAACTATTGGCATTTAGCGACTTTGGTAGCAAACTTCTTTCATTTCGATACATTTCGCCGGTATATTCCGGACAAAGGGTGGTTACTGCTTTCACTACTACCCTTCTTCTTTCTGTGTAGGTTTGTGTTTGGAAGGCGCGTTAGATTGGGCATAGTATTGCCGGCGTCGCACGTTCATGTGTGTATTTGTCTATCCATGTTTTTTATTCTTAAGAGGGATTAAAGTATGTGGGTTGGAAGAGTAGGAAGGGGAATTAGGGGAACGTTGGGGGGTGGCGCTGAGGGGAGAGAAGGGAAAATTAGATTGGCCATGCATTCTGGCACAGAAGAAAAATATAACTTCTTTAATGTGAGAGTTGCTGGTGATGACCAGTTTTCTTCGCATGCCTGTATCCTCCATCTCACCTCGTACGTGTCTGTCGGCATTTAATAGTGTGTTGGTAGCCGGTTAGAACGGTGTGACATTCCAGTATAAAGCGTGTATATGTACATAATCTCGAGGTCTGGAGCCAGCTTGAAAGGCTGCGTGTTTGAGCTAAAAATACCTAGAAATGGCTAGATCTGGCCAATCACGGGAGAATTTGTTAGTTGCGAGCAAAACATGACCTCGGGAAACAGCAACTCGGTTCTTTGATGCTAGCTCAATGGCTTTGTGATACTAGCTGAGAAACTCGTCGCATGACCAACAGGAATCTTCCTTCTGCACTTTGAGGCTCTTGCAGCGCAGTGCTCCAAGACCGCTGTTCGATACCCTAGCTTCCGCTGTACGCCATCAAATAGTTCCCATGCGTGGGCCGGCGGGGGTTAGCGATGTACTAAGTCACATCTTCACCTTGCCCTTGCAAGTTATCGGGCTTGCCGATTGAGTCTCTCCAACTTAGTTCATAATGCGAACGCTTCTTACAATCTCATATAGCGTCCTGAGTACAAATTAAGCACTGAGACCTTGTTTCAAAGCTCTTCCAACAACCAGTATCACAACACGACGTTGTTCAGGCACAAGCACGTTCAACATGAGGAACCATCGAATCTCCATGAAAGTCAAAAATCAGTCACCATACTGTCTCGTTCCAAATGGGCAGTACGCCTACTGGGGAGAGAATTGTTCGGGCCCTTCACCGGTAAGCACAACTGCACAGCTAAAGGCTTTCTTCTCAAGGCAGGAGCAACGCAAGTGACAATCAGGTTTGCTGATCACGCCAACAGGTCAATACCTCCAGCGAAGACTCAGGAGGAGTCTTTAGAGCTCAGGCAGCCCCTTGGGTTGGGTGTGCTGGTGTTAGTGGATACAATCTGAGCAGGAACGACAAGGACACTCCTGATGTGTGGATTATCCTGATGGGAAGCAATCCTGACTTTACCCAAGAAGACAACCGGGCCGGAGTGCTCATGCAAAGCCTCCCTATCTCGCCAGACAAGAATGCATACAAGAGGCTCTATGATGGTAACACTACCTCCGTTTCCCTCCCGTTTGACCACGGCATCTTTACTGTGAGTTAAGCACTTGCCTTCCTTGGTGCGCGCGAGTGTGAACTCAAACTAATGGTCCGCATCATTAGTTGACGAGCAAAATTGGGTACGGGGAAGACTGTACAGCTACCTTCATCTTGACCTTCCAAGAAGGTCTTGATGTGACGAGGGAGGCTCTACAAGCTCACAGACCTTGAAAGCAAAGCGAAGGCGGATCAAAAGCTCTACCCCTGACTCAGGTGCATGCTTCATAATCTAAGAATGAGAGTCAATACAGTGTACAAGTGGATTGGATAAAGTTTTAGGAATAGGTAGCAGGTGTCTCAGATGTCTGAAACTCATATTCAATTGCTTTCAACGCGCTACCAGTTCATGTCTCGCTACGCAGACATATATTTTTCATCTCAATTGTTTGATTTCTATCCAGATAAAGATACATAACCATAATATGAACGTAGAATGCAAACCACACATGCAACCCCCAATCCTCATAAGCCTAAGGAAAGATCATCAACCAGCCTACCGGCGGCGTTTAAACAAAGAAAAAAAAAGTTAAATCGCTAATTCAAATGCAAAATGTGATGCCTATCCCATCCATCCATCATATACACTTCCTCTCAGCATCTTCTAATAAGCATCCCCAAAGATCTCCTTGGGACTCTGCACAAGCACATCTCCCGCCTTCCTCCCTTTCCTCTCCATCTTCTTCTCCATCTTGCGATCCTTCCTCGTCGTCAAATGCGGCGTCACAGGCGTGATAGGCGTAAAAGGCATATACGGACTATACGGCGTAAAGGGCACTCCTGTTTTGGGAGTACCTAGTGCAAGTTTCTCGACACGTCGGTCGAGGACGGTAGTCTGGATACCAGGGGAGGCGAGCGGGGAGGCAAAAGAGCGGAGAGGGAGACTGGCGTTTGCATTTTGGGCGCGAAGTTGCGAGGTGGGGGGTTGGGCGAGAGGTAGGTCTTTGGAACCTAGTCGTTGCGGTGCTGGGCGGGGGAGAGGCTGAACGCGGTCGAGGGATTCGTCGTTGTAGTTCAATGGCGAGCTTGGCGAGTTGGTCTGAGTAGGAGGCGAAGGGGGTGCGCCGGGGTTGGCGTAGAAGCGTGGGGAGAGTGGTGTGCGTGCTTCGTCGTCGGAATCTGCACCAGGATATTTCGTTATTGGGCCTGAGATGCGTAGGTTCTTTAGATTGAATCGCGCGTTCTTGCCTCCCGTCGTGCTGTTAGTGGAGTTTTGAGAGCGTTTGGATAAGATGCTGCGTGGGCTCGGGGGTGCGTGGGGTTCTGCGCGGAGGTGCTCCCGGTTGTTCGAACGGGGGCGGTCGGTGTAGGGTGCTGTTGGAGGTCTATCTGAGTAGCCGGGTGGGTAGATGGCTTTGACAGGTGAAATTGGGGAGTCGGCGGTGTCTTGGGGTCGTCCGATGGACAGCGCTGATGGTCTTCTTCGCTCCGTGGGTCGGGGGACTGGCTCCTCTTCATCTACACTGATCTTAGAAGCGTGCTTCTGCGCGTCAAAGTCCATGACGGCGGCGTAGAGACGCTCCATGTCAGCTTGAGCTTGATCCCTATGGGCATCAAGCACCTTTTGATCAAAAGAACTCGGCGATTGAACCAAGGGACTCTGGACAGCGGAGTCGGTCTTCTTGAACTTCCTCCACAATCGCGCAGATAGTGGCGGCGATGCTAGACCACCCGTGTTGATAGTCGGTCTTGTTGGTTTGTAGCCGTCCTGGAGCTCCAGCTCCAACTGCATAGGCGGGTCCAGTGCTTTTCGTCTCATCTTTCTACCAACAGTGAGGAGAAGTACTCCCCAAATAAGTACTGTAACGACGTAACCGCCAACGACACCACAGATCTCGTAGGGTAAAACGTTCTTGTCTCGGACAGCGTGATACGAGGCAGGAGGCCCCTCGTCAGGCGCTGGTGTGGGGTCGCGATAGTTGTCGAGGAAGTTGTAGGGTGTAGCAGAAACACCAGATGCAACAAGAAGCAGAGATATGAGTGCTGGAGGAAGCGCTCTCTCCAGCATCGTTTCCTGGGCTTGACACTCAAGGAAATATAAGTAAGAAATAGGAAATGGGAGGGGCGGTCTATCTTTCCTCGCACTCGTCCAGGGTACAACGTCGATCTAGGGCCGCAAATGCATTCGCTTCCCGACTGAGAGGAACCGGGTGAAGTGCAGAGTGTAACAGAGGCGACATGGTGATTTGAAGAGGGATGGGAAGCGGGTAAGTACTTTGATCGGCGGTCTGCAAGTGGTCGGATGCAAGGAAAGGACGACTGGGTGTGATGGCTTGGGATGCTGCATACGCGATCTCATTGGCTGGACTGTTTCTTGAGCTACATTGGGGCGTCCAGTGGTTGAAGTCTCTCAGCCGCTGAGCGGGGTCGCTTTGAGTAGACTAGACCCAGGTGGGACGACGGCAATACCTGAACGTCCAGACATAGTTCGAGGCTATCGCGCTGAACAAATATTCGGGGCTGCCATGTACTGTGTGAAGGCAATTGATGTCGCGATGGGCGCTGCCGCTATGTGGGAACAGTTGGAAACATGTTTGCCGCGCCACTCGACTGCTCCACGACTACCAACTTTCCGGACACGCACCATCTGCCAACTCGAGGCACAGTCGGCGGGAAGAGACGGTCCGCATGCATAATAGTGCGGCCCCTGCAGCTCAGAAAATGCGCACCCAGTCTCGCACTCCCATTCGTCAGTAAAGTCTATTCTAAGCGCCCGATAATGCGAATCAGCGCACAGTCACCTCATCACACTAGCAATCACGGAGCCACTAAGAGAAGTAGTATGTTAGCCACTTCAAGGATTATATGCCGAACAAACTACTTGAAGTAACGAGTCGGATCGCAAATTCTACGCGACAATCGTCGTAATGCAATGGGAATCACAGACTAGGCTTGCAGCAAGGACCGATTATTAGGCCGCATCACCCTCATATCTTGTGACGGCAATTCGCATTGGCCGTTACTCCTCTTACTTCACGATTCATGCATACTTTCGGCACTTTTGGAATGCCTTGCGGTGCGTCAGGAGACGCTGATGGAGAGATAATGTGGCTTCATTATAGCCCTGCGGTCGACGTCACTATCACTACCTAAGGATGCATCGTACCGATGCTGGATTAGCGAATGCTAGCAAACATATCTGCTCAAGAGAGGTTGTTGAGCTTACCCTTTCGAAGCGAGACCCGCTTGGTGTGGGATATGCAGACATGCATTCTGGAGTTGATGGCAATCACTTGCCCTCTGCCTTAGCGGTAAGGGCTTCATCCAAACCGGTAGGCTCCCACATGGTCTTATCTTTCTTGTTCTGCACCCACAGAACATCGCCCTTGAGATACGCCACTGCGCCTCCTCGTCCGGTCGCGCTTGCGGTGATGCGGAAAAGGGGCAAACCGGTTTGGTCGTGAGCTTCACGGAGTGGTATCAATAGCAGGTTCTCTTCAGCGCAGAATTCCTCTACCATATCCTTGAATGTTGTCTCCTCGACTTGTGGCGCAGGACGAGGTGGTTCCTTATTGACGGACTTGGAGAACTGGGATGGTTCTGGGGAGACTCTCGTACTCTCGACGTGAGGCGCTGGTAGATGTGTCAATCTTGCGTCGCCAAGATCCAGTGCGGTACCGATGAGCGAGTATGCTTCATTCCAGGATGAGGCCACGGAAGGCAAGTTGCTGATTTCGTCCTGCAAGATCTCGTTCCGCCACCACGCAAGCCACGTCTGGACCTCTTCAAAGACAACTTCGGGACTCGTAAGCCATTGGTGGATGATTTCGAGAAACTTGGGAAAGAACTGTGCTTTTAATAGTTCTCCAATGACTTCATTTGATATCAGTCCTCTCCAAGCGAAAACGGCCTCGAGTGGTGCCAGATCTTGTTCAGCGGGGTTGATGTCAAAATTGTCTCGTAGGTAGGTCGCCAAACGCGGTACTAGATGGGAGGTAAGTAGATGGTCAAACTCGCCCTTTCCAAACACTCTCCTCCACTGGTCCATCCCTGGTAACGGGCCTTTGGAGAGGTCGATGGACTGTAGTGCATGTCGGATCTTGCGTTTGATTTCAGCAACCAAACCTGATCCCTTGGGGTCTAGATCAGTCGGCTGGAGGAAAGGCAGCCACTCCACAACCCATGTGTGTGGGCTTCTCTTGAACTTTCGAGGATTCCACTCCTGGATTGAGGTGGAGAGCTTTTGTGTGATTTGTTCCAGCACCCGCTTGGCAATGAATGGTGGTAAGACTGGCTTCCAGACACCTACCAAATGCACCATGGGCTGTGGGTTCTTGACATCCCACTGTGTTACAGCGGAGCTCACTGCTGGGAGCCAATATTTGAGCATCATGGACTCATATGACGATGTAGTGCCACGCTTTATCGTGTCCTCTTCGTCGACTGAGTTGCGGCTAACCAGTGCTTCTGAGGGGTGGGTGTAGGCTTGAGAAGCAACTCTCCTACTTCTGGGCTGTATGATGTTTGCCATTTCTGAGAAAGCCGCGGCCACGCCCTCCAACGCATCCTCAAGTGGCTCCCAGGACGCGATAGCTTTGGAGAAGTGTGGATGTATAACGGCAATCGATTCGCGGTGTAGCGGCTTCGATGGGTGGGCGGCGCGCAGGCTCTTCAGCCCTTCGCAAACGACGTCAAACGTGCCTGTGCGCAGAGACTCGATGCGTGCTTGTAGATCCTCCAACTCGTCCATCTGCTTTTCGAGCGCTTCCAGCTCCTTCTGAAGCGCATACTCTTGGGGTGGAATGGCCTGCGACTCGACCTGAAGTTGTTCGAATGCTTCGGAAAAACTGTTCAAGTCTCTGCGTACGCGCGCTTGCAGAGAGTTCTCGAATGGGACGATGTCAGGGCCGCGGAGGGACACGCCTGAAGTTGGAGTGGACGTGCCGGTCGTCGCGTCGATAATGGACTGCAGTGCAAGCGGTACATGCATGCCAGCTGCTTCGAGCTCGAAAACAGTCTTCTTCGGTCGAGGAGCTGATGCTCGCGTCTCTCCCCGTGCCTTGGCCT